TGCAGTTCAATTACTCACTATCTTCACACACACACATTACATTATTCTCCCGTCACGTTGTCACCCTCTTTTATATACCAGACTACCCTATATCTAGTAAATACTAGAGCATTCGCCAAGGTACGGGATAGTTCTAGAAACGTGGCATCACACTAGTCATGTGACTCGCTGACGCAACAATTTTTATTCTGATACACAAAGAATAATATCATAATGTAATATTTATTCTAATTTGTTTTTAGAACTAAGTTGATTAATGTATAGATGAAAAAAAAAGTCATTAGTTTATATTTTCTAAAGTCAGTTTATTTTCTCATAATAATAGGCAGAACTTACTCTGGTCTTCAAATCCTGAATTCAATGTGATATTGTCCAGCAAAATATAATATTAAAGAACCTATCAAAATTTATAACAGCACAAAGACCGAATAAGAATCATATAAAATGCTTCTACTGCAAATTCATTAGTGACAAAAATCACATCTGCATCATTCTTCGTAACAGCTTTCAGCTTTTTCTAAAATCTGATCAGAAATTAGTAAAGTATTGATAAACTTTTGCAATAAATAAAAAATCCTGACAAAACTTGTTTACTAAAGTTGTGCCTCTGTTGAAAAGTTTTTGTACATACATTAAGCCTTTTAAACAAACTCCCACCCCTACACTTTACTACACAAATCTGTGATTTAATGAACATTAGACTATAACTCTCTGCCATTAAGTGACATAATCAACTAATCAAAATTAGTGTTTCTGGTTATTAATATATTCAATAAATCCAACTATCTTAATCTCATGTGAGAAGAATGGATCAGTTGAATATAATCAATTTTTGAGCTTGGCAGTTAATTGATTAGCAAATTCCACTAACTGTCCAGCTCTAGTTGGACAAAAAAAACACAAAAAAATGGCAACTGGAAATAAAAAAATATCCGAGATCATACGCACAGATGTGTATTTTACAGGAAAAAAAAATCTGAAAAAAGTATTCAGTGAGTTTAAAATTAGTGGCCCTTTAGTTTGAGACAAATTAAATCAAATTAACATAGGCAGTACTATAAGCTTCCATGAATAAACAGCTTGGTTGCACAACATACATAAAACATCTTAAAAAGATAATTTTTTCCTTAGGAAGATAATTTTTATACGGAACAGTACAAGCTTGTTAGATATACATGACTGTTTCAATTTAAGTTTAACGTGAGTGTTATGATTTAGACAGTTTATCTAGCAGGAGTGTCAAATTTAGTTATTTTTAGAAGTGATAGTTTATCTCAGGGTTGTTTATGCAACTGTTCATGAACCATACATAGTGTAGTTCACTAGTTATGAATGGGTGATTGTTATATTTTTGCATCATGTTATTAGAACCTTAATGGATTTTTCTCATTGTTTTAAATCAGAATTATTATATTGTAATATCTTGTAATGTGTGGAATATTCTAGGCCTCTGTTGGGCTATAAATATCCATCCAAACCATAGTTCGATAAATATAGAGATAATTAAATGGATCTAAGCTGCTTGATTGCGAGTTTAGCCATAAAGAGAATATAGTAATGATCTCTAAAGTGTAATTATCACAGACTGTATTGCAATAACAGAATAGAGAAGAATAATTTGTCTTGTCAATTGTGTTATAAAGTAATTGAACCAGCTTGTATGGATTTTGATGAAAAGAGACAATTATTTAAAGCTCTGGATATAACTGTGGTAACCAACAGTTATAGTTGTGATTTTTAAAGTGAAATTATCACAGACTGTATTGTAATAGCAAAACAGAATTCCAAAAATTCACTCCAATGGCACTTGGACCTAAATCTCTACTCAAAATCATCATTTTATTTTTAACAATTTTTAATGGCTCTCTCATATTTAATTTTTAAATTCACCCATTTAAGTAATTTCATATTGTCCCAGTCAAAGCATAATCAGACATTCAAATATTCAATAAAGTTTTATAGGTGTGTATGGAAAAATAAATGAGATAGTGTATGGCTATATTAGTGTTTGTAAAATCCATATTTACCATGTGTGCAGTTTCAGAAAATTATATGTGTGATGTACCTTGTTCGCATTATGAGCCTGAAAGAAGTCAGTTTCGGTGATCATTTTACAGAGGTATGCAGGCTTCTTTGTAATTTGAACCAAATGATCTATTTTTTCATAAGCTGGTTAGTAGAAATGTATCCTCCAACAGGTAGCAAGCAGTTATAAAACTACAGACAGAGCATGTAAATATATATTAATTTTAAACCAATTAACATATTTAGGTCTAAAAAATATGTCAATTTTAAGAACACAAAACTTTATACATATTAACAAAAGTATACAGAAGCATGTCATTAATTATTTTCTTTATCCAATACATCGTATCAATCATTAAAAAGTGAATGACTTTTAAGTTGGGAATACTAGATACACAAAACCCAAAGGATTCACATAATTTATATATTATGACCTTAATTGCTAGGAGCATGATAGCATCTCCTCCACCTCAGCTACCTCATCCCTAGTATCAGCTAGAATTACTGAACAGAAAAGAAATCTATACTGTAAAGGAAATACTTTGAATACTTTAATTTAAGCACCTTTATCTACAACATACCTTTGTAAAAGGGTCTTGCAAGGGTCTGGGTGAGCTTTAGTTCCAAATTCTGAAACTACTATACGATTGGCATTCATATTTCTATTATAAGTTTGACTTCTAAGAAATTTGTTCTGATATGTTACTTCTCCATTACTGATGTGATAGCGATGGAGAAGGGCCATTCCATCAAAAATATGGTTGAATTTGTCTGGACCAATTTCCATTAACCCGCTTCCATTTCTTAGCAAATTTCCTTTAATCCATGTTGGAATCTCTCCTTCAATGAGAAAGAAAGCACACTAACATTGAGAATCACATAAAACTAACTAAAAATGATATTTCTTAATTTATAAAAATGTTCATGATAGCTACAAGTTTGACTGTATAATTAGAAACATCTAAACTCAGTCTGGCACTTGCAGTTGGTTTACAATATGACTTTCTATAGCTACTACTCTGGTTTACAGTGTAGTGTCTATTAAAGTCATTACTTTATAAGACAATTGGTGTAACCTTTTGTAAGTATGTATACATGCTTCAGCATTCATAAACACATGCATACACAGATAAAGATAAATACTCTCCTTAGGATCAATATTATTACTTACCTGGAGCAGTATAATGAGGTACAATGCTTTCAAAGAATATCCACAGCCGAATACACATACATAAAATAAAATATTCTTAATCTCTTATGTTTCAGTATTAGTTCTAACATTGACTTTCTATCATTTTAAAATAACAAGTTCAAGAAAAATGTAGAAATTTAACAGCACTTATAAAAAAAAAAAGTAGAGTGTTAATAAAGTAGTGTTATTATTTATAGTAATAATTCACATAGTTGGTTTATCATCCCCGAGTTGAGTAGTTCTCTATTGTACTTTATTTGTTATATTATATAAATCACGCATAAATAGGTTGTTTGATATAGTAATTGTGCAAGTCATGAATAAAGCTTGAATAAATGACTGAAAAAAAAATACTTATATAGTCACAAAGCTTTTGAGTGAGAAGATTAAAATGTCTTGTATCAGGGGTCCTCCTTTCTTGTGCTAGATAGTAGCCATGGGATTTGTTAACTTATCTAAAATCCTGGTATTGGAATTATTGATATAGAATTTACTTGTCATATGCATACTCCATTGGTTCATGGACATATCATTGTGAATTATGTGGAACTGATTTAGTATATGTAACTATCAATAGTAGTTTTATCACAAATTTGTATTGAAGTACCATCATTGTACATATTTTAAATGTTCAAATTAATAGAAAATTTCATAATGAAAATTAATCTTCTCTAGTTAAAGAAAACTGAAAATTATGAGAGTTTAAAATTGTATCAGAAAATGTAAAATTAAGTTATCAATATAATAACTACATATTAAAACTTACAAACCTGAGCAACTGAATTGTGACCAAAATTATTATTATTAATATTATTATTAATTATTAATTCTGGTATAATTTGTATAACATTTGTATGCCTCTGAAAATTTTTATACTAAACATGCAGAAAATAAAATATTTATAAATAACTGAAAGTCTGTAAAATTTAGAATTTGAAATTGATTACACAGGTTAACATTGTGTGTTAGGTCATAATGATTAAGTTGTGTTAAGTTGATCAAGTATATACATATTGGAAATTATATCAAAACCATTCAAAAAGACTGGAAGTTGGTTAATCTTAGTGCAATATTGATAAATATTGTCCAAGCAATTATAGGCCAGTTAGTCTTACATCAGTAGTTGGAAAGGTTTTGGAGAGTGTGATTAAAGATGCATTGCAGAGTTACTTAAAGCAGCTTGATATTGTGTCAAAGAGCCAGCAGGGACAGTATTTTTTAACAAATCTTCTGACATTCTTTGAGGATGTTACTGCAAGAGTTGATGAAGGAAATACAGTGGATTTGGTTTTTATTGATTTTCAGAAAGCATTAGATAAGGTGCCTCACAAAAGACTGATGGGCTAAAAAGCTCTTTTTTGTCCCTTTCAAATTTTATGAAATTTATGAAAGCCTGCTTTAGCAAAGACACATTATGAATATTGTTATTACCTGGGTTTATTTGAAAGAAAATCCTGTATTTAAATTGATTATACCTTAAAAATTACTTATCCTATGAGAACTACATTTCAGTACATGGACAAATTGTAAGTAGCATTTAAGAAAATTTGGACACTGTACATGGTACTTTAAAAATTGCCATAGAAGGTGTACAATATGTTTTCAGCTGTTCTCAACCTACACGTTAAGCTTACCCTTAAATGAAGCTACAGGTAAAATATTACAATTGTCATATGTTCTGGACAGTGTTCATAGAACATCTCAGTATCCTACACACTGACAAGCATTTCATTTAAATTACCTATCTCCTATTATTGAAACAGAAAGCAAAATGAGAGATATAAAAGTAGGCCCAGATTAAGAGAAAAGAAACTGAAGTATAGCTATGTATATGCATATATACAGAGAGAGAGTGTATGTGATTTTAAAGAAAACAATATATTTATCATTATTATTTCTTAAAAATTACTTGTGCTAGGGGAGAATAAAACTTTACCAGTGACATAATGAAATTAAGAAGTTTTACTTTGGAAAGTTTGGACATATTTTATATATTAGGCTGTTTCAAAAACATATTATTTTGAAAGGATGAGGGGCTGGGGGAATGGACGTCTCCTATTCTTTATTTTTTAAATAATGGTAATTTATTCTCTATTCTTTATAATTTTTGGACATTATTTTCTATTCTTTATATCCCATACACCATCAGGTTCAACAGATATTGTTAAGACAGGTAGGTGTGGTATTGGAAGTAGAATAGTTTCATAAGTACCTTATTCTTCCTATAACTTAAGAAAACTTAATAAGAATAGGTTGCATTGAATACCATGAAAAGCTAATCATTGGGCCCTAGTATATATGTATGAAACTATAAATATCACACAAACACCTAGAAAATGCAAAGAAAGAAAATAAACCGAAATTGAGATAAACAGACATATTATACTTATAGACATTAATTGCTTTAAATTTATATAACTACAATAACAGATTTCAAAAATTAGGAATGCTCTTTGTTTTTCCCTCAAATAGAAATGTATAAAATATTGTATTTGCCTTTTCATTTCAGATTTCTAAAGTGAAAAGGACAAAATCATATAATGTAATCAAGAAAAAGAAAGAAAAAATAATAGGTTTTTCAGGAAGAAGCTTAGGTAAGACCAACCTTTTACATTTTAATTTTAAATTAGGACGGTCTACTCAGTACTCTGCTCCAGTTTCCAAAACAATTATATTTGAACTTGTATATCATTAACAGTTAATAGTAATGTTAAAAGTAATAGTAATCAACTAGATTTTATGTACAAATTACCTGTAAACATTGCCTTATTTAATTAGTTATTTCAAGTTAGCTTGAACTTTCTATTTTTGATGTGAAAACCTAGAGTAGCTATAAAATTCTAACGAAAAAGCGTAATTATTATACATATGTGATATAGTATAAAAATTAAAATACTGTCGTAACAATACCTTTAATTGTGCCTTGAACAGGCGTTATCGTTTCTCCTTTGCAAGATCGTGTTAATGAAAATATTGAACTCTTACAAATTCTTTCATTTGACTCCTGTTTTTCATTACTAACATTTGAAACTTTTTGATCATCCTCCATAGCTTCTTCGAAATTAAACTCTAATAATACAAGGCCACACTTTTCGGCTACACGCACCTTTAGACTTCTTTTCAATTTCAAAAGTTATTTTCCCGTTTAATCGGCTGTAAGTCTGAGACTAGAAATGAAAGTTTATAATACTGAAAAATCATTGTTCTTTTACTCGGTGGGAGCTGCACAGATAATACATTGTGTAGCTTTGTGCGATAAAAAAAAAAGCAAAGAAATCCAAAGGTACTGTAACTGTAGTGCGGGCCCATCGACAGGGGGGGGGGTCAAAGGGGGCAACTGCCCAGGGAACCCGGGCGAATAAAACTTGGTTATGCCGTAAAGCATCTTTAGGCTATATCTTCATTTAATGGTAAAAAACATAGTTTTTGGCTTTTCTTTGTATATAGACGCTTGATACATTAAGAACGACTGAAATAATAATTTGAGTAGTAATTAATATGTATTTGTTACTTTATAGATTTAATAGATATTCGTTGTTGCTTTATTATACTGTGAGGTAAAAACGGCTGCTGGTATGATTTTGTCTGGTTTATGTACTCGTTGCTGTACTAATTTAGGATTTTCTTTTTAATACATCCTTGAAAAATGTTAAAAAAAAAAAGAGAAGAGAGAGA